TTGACTTCTGCGCCACTCAGCCAGGCCTCCACAGGGGCGCAAGTGGTGCAAGCGGCCGTTTGAGCCCCACACTCCCCATGCAGCACAGACCATCCAGAGGGAACAGCCAGCACTTCAGGCAACAGCACCCCCCAAAAGGAACAGCCAGCATTTCGCCAGCGCCACGGTGGGAGGAGAAGGGGGTGGGGCAGTGACGTACATGGCCAGGCCCCGCCTCCTGGCCATGCATGTCATCGCCCCGCGCCTCTTCTCCCACCGTGGCACTAGGCTGACTTCTGCACCGCTCAGCTGGGCCACCGCAGGGGGGTAAGCGGCACAAGTGGCTGTTTGGGCCCTGCACTCCCCATGCAGTAGGGGCCGCCCAGAGAGAACAACCAGCATTTCTGCAACAGCGCCACCCAGAGGGAACAGCCAGCATTTCGGCCTTACAGACCCACAGACACTGGGCTACTATATATATGATGAGGAATAGTGCCAATTTCTAAATTGCTATTTTGAAATAAGCACTGTGTAGATGCTTATTTCAAAATAGGGGGCCTCCAGCCCTTCCCAGGGTGCCCTGCTGGCCTCCCTGGCCACAAGGCAACTTCTGACCTGATGCCCTTCAGGAACTGGTTCCAGCCACCCTTAAATGCTATTCAACATCCACTCAGTGTGGACGTGCTATTTTGAAATAGAAAAATGCTATTTCAAAATGCATTTTGTGTGTAGACGTGTTATTTCGAAATAAGCTATTTCGAAATAACGCTGTAGTGTAGACATACCCTACTAGAGAACAAGGGGAGCCTGTTCTTCGTTAGACAAGTTTCAAGTGAAGAGAAGAAACCTCTGGACAAAGGGGCTCAAAGAAGCTTGCAGATGCAATCTGCACCTCTGCCCTCTACACAATGTGGCCTGCTCTCCCAGGAATGGAGCCGCGTCAGAAACATGAATGAGCTGGTGCTGGGGTCAGTGCTCCCTGTAAGCTGTGCACTTTTGCAGCCACACAGGAGAGATTCAGATGCCGCCCAGCTGAGTTAGCAGAGAGCTCAGCTTGGTTTTGTGTTTCTATTGGTGGTCCATGCCTCAGTGCATATACAATTATTCCACACATGGATGAAAAAGATTAGAGGGAACATTGGTTGTGGTGTCAATGTGGTCTCAGCATTTCTTTTGGCTAGTGTGTGACAGTGGAACTCAGGACTCATGGATGCTTTCATTGGCACTGAGGCTATGTCTACACTACGATGGTTTTTCAGAAAAAGGTACACAAATTGCGCATCGCAATTTGTATACCTTTTTCTGATACTTTTTGTCGGAAGAGGCTTTCCCAAAATTTGGCCTGTCTACACTGGCCAAAACCTCCAACCTTCTTTCTGAAGAGCCCTTCTTCCTCATGGAACGAGGAACACAGGGCTTCCAAAAGAGCACGTCTGCTTTTCTGCAAAAAAATAGCAGAAGAGCAAATGCGTTCTCTGGACGTGGCGAAGGTATCCTGAAAGCCCCCCGCAGTCTAGACGTACCCTAAGTGAGAGAGCGGTCTGGAGGGGAGAGGTCCCACTAATACTGACTGCCCTTACAGGGTACTGTGGAGCTTCATTACTCATGTTGTGAGGCATTTGGAGGGCCTCTGAAAGATGTCTCGATACGTGCTAGAGCATAATGCAGTGAGTCATCAGTGGGTGGCAGGCTGGGTGGATGTGTGGGAATGGGAACAAAGAGGCAGTCGTGTGCTCCCAGCAAAGAATAGATGCTGCCTCACCAAACCCAGCCTGGTGTCTGATTTGCAGGATGAGCCATGGCCAGGGCGGACTGCACCGGGGATACACATCAAGTCCCTTAGCGCAGGAGTTCACAATTGTTGGGCTGTCGATTTATGCTGGGCTGCGAACTGCTGGCTCCTGGGCTGCAGCAGCCCTGGGGACTAGGGTACACTGCCCAGCACCTCCCCTCCTGTCGCGGCTGCTGGGAAAGGCGTATCCTGCCCCACCTCTATGCCAACCAGCACCGGCCACAGAAGAGTGGTTCTCTGCGTGGCAGGAGGGCCGCAGAGCCCGGCATGGCAGCCTTAAAGCAGCTGCAACCTGGGCAGCAGCACTCAGCTGATGGCAGGGAGGCAGGGCGGGGG